CTTACCCTCCTTGTGAAGGGTGTCGATGATTGTCTTCTGGACAACTGTCAGATCAGCAGTCTTCCCCATGATTGTGTAGCCTAGTGAACCAAACTGAGTGACCATTTTCAAGTCTCAGGACACCTCTGCAGGTGTTTTGAGTTGACTAGCTGAGTGGCATGTCACCATATTCTAATTTACTGAGATAGTGAATTGGTGGGTTTTTGTTAAATGTGACCAAAATCATCACAATTAAAAGACCCAATGGCTTAAACTACTTCAGTCTGTGTGTACTGAATTTATATAATACACGAGTTTCACTGTTTGAGCTGAATTACTGAAATAAATGGACTTTTCCACGATATTTTAATTTACTGAACTGTACCTGTATGAAGTTTAGATCCAGTGGAGGAAAGTAACTAAGTACATTTACTCAAGTGCTGTACTTAACTATAATTTTGAGCTATCTGTACTTGAGTATTTTCATTTTCTGTTACTTCATGCTTTGACCTCACTACATTTTAGAGGTAAATATTGTACTCTTTACTCCACTCCATTTATTTTCTAACTTTAGGTGCTAGTTACTTTTGAAACTAGATGAATACAAAAATACAGTACATTTATAAGACATCAATGACCTATGGTGGAAAATTCACAAGCTACCCAGCAGTACTTCAAATTAAGTGCATAACCATTTAAAACTAGCTCATCCTTCACCAGCTGTAACATAAAATGTGACGTACACAATAATGCATCAGTAATTACAATAATCTAAGATACAGGAGTGTGAAATGTGTCATTCTGCAAAATGAGTACTTTTAGTGCTTTAAGTATGTTTGATGCTAATACTTATGTACTTTTACTTGTAACAGAGTATTTTTACACTGTAATATGGCTACTTAAGTAAAGGATCTGAGTACTATATCAGCCTCGTTTCTGAGGATCTGCAGAGCTGCTGTCCATTCACGGGTGACTTCACGTATTCTCACTAAACCTCTTCTCAAGTCTGTGTCTGACTGTGCTTTTGTCACTATATCATTTGATCAATCACATTTTAGTTTTGTAAAGTTATTGTACTGTTAAACAGCTTTGCTGCACCTTTTCAACTTTTTACAGTTCTGTATAGATTTATATTAATGTACTCTAATATCTTTATCTTGCCATAAAATTTTATTTCTAGAAAAATGAGACAATCCTGGAAAAAAAAACTGAAGCCGTAAACAAATGAGACCATGAGAAAAGCTCTTTGAGTCTTCATTTCTCTGCCGTAGTACCAGAGCACTGCTGCTTCTCAAACAAAAAGGCTGGTTTCCAAAACCTTGTTGCATCCTGGTGCAAAAATTGTCATGACTAACGTAAATAAATAAATAAAATAGCCACCTGCACTTAAAATGTTCCTAACACCCTAAACAGCAAATATGAAAACACAGAGGATCACTTAGAGAAAGAGCTAATGAGGCTAATTTTGACAATTAGAGAAGGGTTGTATGAAGCAGATGGTGAAGAAATTGAGCTGATTTTGAATAAGTGACAGTTTTGTGTGTGTGTGTGTGTGTGTGTGTGTGTGTGTGTGTGTGTCCGTCCTTACAAAGGCTTCTTCAGAGGTGTACTGCTCAGGGATGGGGAAGTAGTGGTTGATCAGTTTGGACTGGTCCTTCTCCAGCTCGATGGCGGTCCACATGACTGAGTTGAGGTCAGCAAAGTTGTGGTTCATGTCGATGCCTTCATAGCTGTAACGCCCCATGGCCCAACCTGCCAGCTCCGAGCCCTGTGGAGTAAAGAACATGGGGTGAAGCCTCTTAAAATAAGTTTTGGTCCCTGAAGTCTGGAGCCATCATGGAGATTCCAACACAATCTGGGATTATTTGCAGGTCTAGGCACCTTTTTAAAAGCCGTTTCATATCCATCAGGGTTCATAGAGGGCAGCAGGTGGATGCGAGTCTCCTTCACCAGGTGGACAATGCGCTGGTCACCCCGCTTGTATTCTTGGCACATGTACTGCATCAGATTAAGCAGGAGCTCCCGGCCCAGCACTTCGTTCCCATGCATCCCTGCGACGTAGCGGAATTCAGGTTCCCCTGCAGGAGGCGCCAAAACACAGACACAGGTTCTAATACACCACATCACAACTTTAAAGCTTGTACTAATGTTGTTGCTCATGTTCAAAATCAATGAAAACTGATAGATTAAGGTTTATTTAAAATAATAATCAGTACAGAACACGAAAGCCCCTGAAGAGAAATGTTTTTACGCTCCTCACCCAAACATCAGTGTGATGTTATGTTTCTCAATATAGTCAAAATCCCTCTTGTGCACATCAAGGATGAGGAGTCCGTCCTCAAAACGTGGTCCACCCACAGTATCTATGTTTTCAGCATACAGCTACACAAATCCAGCTCTCATTGAGGGCCATGACAGACCTGGATCTGCTTCCTGTTTTGTCCACATACATTAGGGTAGCAAGTAGCTCTGAAATCTCACACATCCTCCTGAAAACTGGCTTCAGCTCACTCTCTCTCTCTCTAACACAGCAGTGAACACTCTGATGAGCGTCTCACACGTTGGTTCTGATAGGTGGCTGATCTGAATTCGATTTTGTATAGACATAACATGTTTAATTCAGTCGGTGAATACCACATACATAGAGGTTTTGAATGTGAAAACGGTTCAGAGGTCAGAAGAGCACAACAGATTTTTTGACACTGGAGGAGCCTCAAAGCCTGGCTCCAGTGCTTTAGCAATTCATTGAGACGAGCTGGAAACAGATCTGAAGATCCACCTGAACAATTCATCAAGAAAACCTCAAATAAAAAAATATGCACAATTTTGGTTTAGTGGTCAGATTGTGCTTGCTGTTTGCTCTACACAGCAAACTTTAGGGGAAATTGTAATCATCTGTAGTCAGAGCACAGTGTGATGGAAACGTAATCAGATCTTGTAAAATGATGGGGGTGTGATCAGATTGGAGTTGTTTGGTGCCAGAGTCGCAGGCTGGCTGACTCAAATGAATAGAGACAAACGTTCCTGCTGTAAAGATTTTCTGGGTTTGATTTCATGTTAAAAGATGATGATTTCTATTCTTCCTACTTTATTTATTTTACTATTGGAGAGCCAAACAGGCCTGAAATTCTCTAATTCATTGGTGGCCCAGCCAAATCAGCATCATAAGAATGGACTTTAAGACCTACATTACACAGCGAACTACACGGTGATGCTGATGGAAGGGCTTTCACAGAGTTGTATAAATCTTTGGAAAGCGAAGGGACAAAGGGGAACATTGCACCACTTGGCCCCACTCTGTTCCTACTGCAAACACTGAGGCTGAAAATACTGAAATCTCAGTCAGTGGCACGTGACATTGCACCAAACCAAGACTGTCTGTGGAAAAAGGTTTTGGATAAGACGTGAGGCCAACAAGGAGCAGAGGGGAAGGAAAATGTGACAGTCAAAGATGCTGGAGTCTTAATGATAGATCTTTGTTAAAAATACATCAACACCTGGGATCACATAGCTTCTATGTTTAAGACTCTCTCTGCTCCTCTGTGCTGCCTTCACTGCCATGTGTTTTGGTGGGAAAACCTCTCCACTCCACAGAGCTGAGGAGGCCAAAGAAAGCATTTGTACACCTCAGAACCAACGAAGAGGAAATCTGGTGTGGATGCATTTACGTTTCACACAGTGCTGGACTGTGTGTTGGCTGGGATAAAGTGGCAGCCACTGTAGATCCCCCGACCCTCTGACCTCTCAGATTGCTTTGTGCAGGATCTGTCTCTCACTAGATGAAATGATTTGTTTTACTGGAGGAGAAGCAGTGCGGTAGCAGCACAGCAGGTGGAAGAAGCATTTCTTTGAGGCTGATTTAAATGTCAGGACAACAAATTTAGGCTTCTGGTTGATGAAAACAGTGAAACTTTACCAGTTGGATTGTTAAGAGATGAGTTATGATTACACCTTCGCAGCATGTCTCACCCACTTCGTGCTTCCCAGGGTTGTCAGAGATCTCCATGACACAGAGCTTCAGGCCTGTGTAGCTCTTTCCGATGCTGTAGATACGAGTGATGTCAGGACACGCCTCATTCACTGACTTCATCAGCTGGGAAAAAGTGTATTTTGTTACAGATGACAGATTTTAATTAATACATTAAAATAAAAAAATAAATAATGGCATATAAAAGGCAATCTCACAGTTGGGACCAACACAAACAACTGGAAGACTTAAAACGAAAGCAAAACTACAAATAACATTAGTAAATCTGTAAATATTTTAAAGTACCTACAGACATTCTGTCTAATGTATTACTGTAATAACTCGTGGAAGACAAGAGTTCACTGTCCCTGAAGAAACACTGTGTATTTACTTAATATATTCAGGGAGAGATTGTTACAGACATCCGAGTTATATCTTGATCAGACAGAAACACACTGATCTAAGCTGTGTTTAAATGTCGACATGTATTTCCACACAATCAAGGTGGATGAGTGAGTTTGTTTGTGCAGGCTGTTCTCTGACCATCGCATCCAGGACAGTGTCTTCAAACAGACCACAAATCACACCATGAGGACGCTGCCACGAAGGAGTGAAACCTCCCACAATATTTGTTTTCTGGTCAGTCTGAGACCAGAACACACACACTTGGACATTTCTGGAGTCGGTGCAAAAACCAAAAGCTGATAATCTGTCAACATGAGCCTGGAGTTTATTTATAAAAGCTGCTTGGTGATGACAGAGCTTCTGTTTGAGACAAGAAATTAAATCAATAAAAATGTAAACTTGTCTTATTGGTTTTGTCAAATGACTTTATCTTGACACGTTTTAAAGCCTTGTGTTCATCTGAACGTCATCATCAGTATCCACACTCTGTCCTACCTTTCTCATCTCCTTGTAGTTGTGGTGTCTGAAGTCCAGTTTGTCTTTAGACTCTGTTGGCTCTGTCTGCCATGCATAGACATTACCTGGATCTACGAAATGGGAAATGTGTGTGTTACTGTGGCCAAACATGGTGTAAACAGTAGTTTAAACAAAGTGTCTGTACCTGGGAGTGTGCAGCCCAACACCTCGGCTCTCAGGCAGATGTCTCCCTTCGTCCCATTCTCGTACCAGGTCTGCGGGTTGATCCGGATGTAACGAGCCACTGTGGATATGTTAAACAGGGCGAGGACGGCTGTCTCTGTGTCCTGGTTCCCTTCAAATACCTTAAACCCAGAGAGACATGGTGAAGTATAACCTAGCTGTCCTGTGGCCAAGTGGTTTCAAACAAAAACAGAAACCCACAATGTTTAAATCTCTAGCTGTGAACCACTGTTACACATTCATTGCATTTTTATGTCAACTGTGGATAATAAAAAACTGCATTAACATTTGTTTTCATAATTCTAAGTACACTGCTTATCCGTGTGCAAGGCCGTGGAGACGATCCAGGTGACTGTGAGCGTCAGCACCAGCACTACCCGTGTACGGTTGTAAATCGCTCATTTGTACATACACGTCACCTTTTTTTTAGGTTAGCATATCGTAGCCTTCAAACAACATCTTCATGAAATAACATTCATCACAGCAGCAGTGTAAGGCTGAAAACTATTTTCATTTCAATTATTTTCTTTTATAATCATTTGACTGTTCAGTGTATAAAAGGATGAAAATAGAGAAACATGCCCATCATCACTCCCTGAAACCAAATTAACATATTCAAACGCCTTTATTCCCCTGATCCACAGTAAGATAATCCAAATGTGCTTTCTGGCTGCCTGGGGAAATAATGACACTGCTGTGGGAGCTCATGAAGATATGAATACCAGAGCAGCTGGTGGGAAGTGAAATGGGAGAGCAGGGAAACTATACAGGGGAGGAGAGAGATAAGAGCCGAGTTTGAATGTTAGAAAAGAACATTATGTTCACTCACAGCCTCCTCAGTCCCGTTCAGACATGGCGTCCACACCAGCGAGTCGTTACTGAACTGCACCTTGTAGGTATGCACCATGTCCCAACTGTGTGTGAACAAGATCATGTGTCACATTCAGAAGAATTTTAAAGAGGAGCTCGAGTCCAAACTAAGCCCTGCACCGCTGGATATAAAGATCTTGTGTCTGTTTCTATGAGACTGACCAGAACAATTTCCTGGGGTTCAGACAGAGAAAACAAGACAGAAGAAAGTCTCCAAAATGTACAGCACAGGCAAAACAAATCAGATTTGTAATGAAACCAAGTGTGTGTAGGGGCAGTACATGCACATGCACATGATCTGAACAGCCTTTCATCTGGGTGAGTGTTTCTTGTGACGTTAAAGAACTGCCTTAAAACCATGTTTTTATTGTGCTCTGTGAAATTACATTTCCCAGTGCTCCCCATGATGCTATGAAACCCTGGACCTTCAGCACTGACCTCCAGATGGAGTTGCGACCCTGCAGGATGACACCAGTGAAGCGAGTCAGTCGGCGAGTGTCAACCTCCAGCCACTGCTCCTTGTCTTTGTACTCAGCGCACCAGGCGCCGTCATAGATATCACCGTCCATTATCCCAGACTGAAGCACACACAAGACACACCAAAGGAACACACAGTGGTAATGTTGTTCTACAGTGCATTGTGTGCAGTAGGTGACGTTCTGTGTTGGCTGTGTTGTACCTGGATGTTGAGGCGGCCGCGGTGGGGGCCCAGGCCTCTGCGTTTGTAGGACGAGGCTCTCAGCTGAGTGTCTTTGACTTTTAGTGACTCCAGACCCAGTGGAGGACATTCTGACACAATCAACAGGTCTCTAGTCACTACCTGAACATAATTATACCTGGACATTCGCAGAGCAACACAGTAAGTGGGAGCCAGAGTTCCAGAGGTAAAAGTCTGATGACTTTTTTGGTAGAAGATTAGCTGAGCACAGATGGGCATTAAATTCTAGCCATTCAATCCCAAGCAGAGACAATGTGACACTGTGGGAAAGAAGGCAAACAAGGGAAAGTTGCAAACATCCTTAGGAAACAAGCCAACTACAAATTCCTGTGCCACTTCAATGGGTTTGTGAATTTAAATCTAAGCTTTTTGAAACTTGTTCCTTTTAATGATAATGATAATAATCACCTTTACTTGGCCAAGTATGTTACACACAAGTCATTTGTTTCCGGTACAGAACCGATGGCAGCCACCTACGGCGCCAACTCAAACGATGGCTCTAACCATCGGGGCAACTTGGGGGTTCAGTGTCTTGCCCAAGGACACATCAACATGTGGACTGCAGGCACTGAGATTCGAACGTCTGACCCACCCTCCAGTTGGGAGATGACTGCTCTACCCACTGAACCAAAGTCGCCCCAATCCATTTGGAATCCATTTACTTATGCCTTTTTGATCTTTTTGGATGAACTCTCCAACTCTGGCTCAGTGTTTTGTTTGTTAAGGGAATTTCTTCAAATTTGGACAAACATCCATTTGCACTTCCATCATGAGGTTGGAGGTGTTTCTCACAGGAAGAGGCTGGACACACCAGACAGGACTTGGTGGCTTTTGGCTTCCTGCAGATATCACAGGCCACATCCTCAGGTCCAGCTTAGCAGTGACAAGCAGGAGCAGCCTGGAGTCCACTCTTCTTCAGCTCCTGCACCAACTCTGCTAACAGTGTTTGTCACCAGGTCAGGCCTCTGTATGAAAGTCTTTCTGCACTGAGGACAGCTGTGGATGTGTTTCTGGTCCTCCTCATCTCAGTGGGTTTTAATACAGCTCATGCAGTAGCTGTGTCCACAGGGCTCTGATCAGAGGCAATATGTTTTCAGGTTGTCCATCCATCCGACCCATTCTCGTGAACTCGATTTGTCAGTAACATCTCGAGGGCATTTCTTCAAATTTGGCACAAACATCCATTTGGACTCGAGGTTGAACTGATTAGATTTTGGTGGTCAAAGGTCACGATGACTGTATCCTCATGTCTGTCCCATTTCTGTAAACTGGACTGGTTGGTGGAGGCATTCACTCACAAAATGGAAATTTTAGTTTTGTTGCCGATTGCAGCCAAACTTGTGCTACTGGCTGGAATATTCTCCACAGCCAGAGCGACTGCAGTTCATAAGTACTGTAGTGTCTAATGCCATAAGCAAGTTAAACAATTTATAACCTAAATTAAACCTGGAGAGGCCTGTGTTCCTGTGTTTAGTGAGTTTAATGTCAGATTTTGAAGGCAAACTTACACTAGGGAAAAGAAAAATCCTGGAACCAGCATCTCCACAGACTGTGTTGCTCGGTATACAAACATCAAAAACATGAGCACAGTAGAAATCACTAAAAAGCAAGGAGAAAAGGGCTCATCTGTTTATGTCTTTAGGTATAATAATCTTATATAATGCATGTGTTATATAACATGTTACATTTTAGCAATGGGATCAGTTACAGTAGGAGTTACAACTTCAGGAAAAAGCTAAATGAATGTGTCGAAACATAACACATGCAGGTGTTTCCATAAAGCCAAAGAAGTACATTTAAAGAGAGCTGAATAGAAGGAGCACAACTCTGCTGCAGCTGCTGATGTTTCTTTAACCCTTCCCAGCATCCTCTGCTGAATGTCTCAGACAGGCTCTCATTGTCTGGAGGGTTCAGCTTGGTTCAAACAGCCTCTTCCTGCAAGAAGCTTTACTGGCTGCTAAAAAGTCTCAGGTCAGGGTATAGAAGCAGTGTAAACTTTGCTGGCATTTCCTTTAAGGACTCTTGCCCCCTTTTGCCTTGTCATCCAGCTGGATCTCTGTGACTCAGAATGTTGCTCTGCTCTAAATGTGTTTAGATTCCTCACAAACCACACATTTCCTCTGAGCCAGAGAGACTTGGCAAACTGAGAGTGATGCCCAGATGACAAAGACATTCCACTTATTGTACATTAAAGCAGCAACGGCAGCTGATTATCTGGGTAAAGAAAAAAAATCACGACTGATGTTGGTTTGGGGTAAAATCATAAAGCATTTGATGGTTTTGAGTTTTGTTCCGTCTCCTTCTTTGCCTGAGACATACAGTATATTGTTCTCTCTTTAAAGGAGCCACAGGAGGAGGATGGAACCACGAGGTGCTTTACCCAAGAAACGCTACTCACACCCCAAGTCTCTCATCTCCCCTGGCTCGTCATCATGAATGTCTGACTCCATCCTCTCACAATCCCCATTTATGAGTGAAAAGGTCTTTGATGGTGACAAAACAAAATTCTGGGAGTATCAGGTCTTTTTACAGGCATTCATTCTACTAAAAGTCACGTGAGTCACACTCATGGTAACTTATGTTCATTGAAATATATGGCCTTGTTGTAGTAATTTGTCGTTTGGAGATCACTTAGAGGTTGGCTGTTTTCAGCCTAGTGAGGATGGGTATGTTGCTGCTGCTTCACTAGGCAACTACAAGCTCAAGTCACAAAGTAGCCAAGTGGAAAAATAACTCGGCAACACGAAGAAAAACTGGAAGAATCTGTTCACCAATGTGTTTGTGCACGTGGCCTTCAACAGCCGAGTGCTGTAGTGTTGCTGAGTTGTCTTTTCTTTTCTTACGGCTCATCCAAACTGGCAGGAAGAAATGAATAAAAATAAATAAATAAATGAATGAATAAATAAATAAAATGACTGCAAAGACTCAGTTCACCAAACCTCAACACAGCGATGCCTGTGTTTGAATGGCTGTGGGAATAAAACCCTATCTCCACATTCTTTTACTGTGGGTTATGGGCAGACAGAGCGACTGGCTGGAGAGAAGTCAAAGAAAAGACAATGGTGAACAAATAGGAAACCAAAGGAAGGAACAAAGACGAGCAGTATATTCAGTAGGTTCTTTGCCTACAAGCACAGGAAACATTTAAAATGTTTGCAGAGGCCAGTGGACAAAGATGGGGGACATCTTTGTGAGCAGGAAGCTGGCGCCTTTTCCTATTGGTACCGGCAGTAGTGATGGTTTGAAGTAGAAGGCTGAGCCCATTTCTTTATAGTGTACACGCTCAGATTACAGTATGCACTGAATCAGAACCGGGACTAAACTTTGTGTTCAAGTGGCAAATTGTTTGTTGCTCTCCTGGGTGGGCTCACCTCACCGCTCGCCGACAACTTGTTGCTCTCCTGGGTGGGCTCACCTCGCTGACAATTCACTGATTTCTGTCCCTTGTCTGATTGACACCCTGCATACTTGTGGGCTAATCTCACTACATACGTGGGACTGTCTCTGTGGCCACAGATGGACCGGCACTTTTGTTGACCTGGGGCTTGGATTTCTTAACCTTTGGCTTCCTGGTGATGGTTCTGGATTTCTTCAGGATCATTTTGGATTTCTTTACTACCTTAATGCTCCTGAAGAACCTCCTGGCTATAAAATTCAAATATCATATATTGCAGTAGAATATGACTTCAGACTTTTTTTGAACTACTTCAGGGATTTGGTACAGATCACTGAATTTAAAGGAATAGTTCAACATTCTTATTAAACTACAGGTTTTTACATGTTGTATGGAATAAGGAAAGAAAATAATTATAGCTAGAGGTGCTGCTAGGCAGATTTTTTTCAACTGTAGACAGTGTCAGGCTATTCCACTCATTTTGCTAAGCTTTGCTAAGTGTAGCATGCCTCCAGCCTTATATTTAAAGATTGCTATTGGTTTAATTGCAACAAAACAAAGGCGCATATTTCCAAAAATTATGAACTATTTGCTGAAACATGTTCACCTCCAGAGGAAACTGTAAAGCACCATACAGCCTGTGTTTGTGTAAATGCTGCTGTACCAGTTTCCATTTCCATTTCAGCTGTTTAGCTTTGGCCACAGCTACACTGAGTGTACAGCTGGGCGAGCAACATTACACAACAGGTTTTTAAAGAGTGTGTTTGTTGTCTTTTTTTTTATCTGACCATCTGGTCTTCATCAGTAGAACATGCATGGCTAAACTATCTCGCCCCACACAGAGTAGTGTGCTCCCCCATCACCTCTGATGCTGACTGCAGATATGCAAAGCTCAACAGGGCTGTTTACACTGTCAGAAGGGACCTTTGAGGAACCCTGAGGGATACTTTAGCTTGGAGTTATTGAATCCCAGAGAGTTCATCAATGAACAATTATCAACTGAAAAAAGACCATAATGAAATTTTAAGCCCCCTTTGAAACATCAGGGTTTGAAGAACTCCATTTATTCTCAGAACCTTATTTCAGCTGTTATTTTTTCACTGTGAAGTTAATATATATCACAGACATTCTGCACATCTCCACATGGATGTTTACATTAGGAATAAAACAAAATTTTAACATTTAACATTGAAATCTGATATCCACTCACCTAATTCCACAGGACCCTCTTCTTCTTCTTCAGACTCCCTTCTGGGACTTTGTCCGTCTGCTGTTTTATCAGCCTCTTCAGCTGTGGTGGTTGGCAGAGCTTTAACTGTTGACTTCCTAGAACTGGCTGTGAATCCTGTGGTGGGAACATCAGTAGTGTTTGGAGTGTTGGTTGTTTTTGCAGAGAAAGGGCTTGTAGTAAAAGCTGCATTTACAGTGGATCTCAGTGCAGTTGTGTCTTGAACAGTTCTGGCTGAAACAAGAACAAATGATCCACGATGCAAAAATAAAAGCAGAATGAAGTACAGAACGTCTGCCATAGTAACTCTTCCCTGCAACACTAAGCACTCCTTCAACCTCCCTGACCTGATCCAACACTGTCAAGTCACACAGCACAAAAACAACTTCCAGTCAGATTTCAAAAATAAAACAACTTAATATACTGTATGTAGACTAGGGAGGTCAAAGTAAGGCTCTATAACAAATATAGCGGAAGCCATATGCTGACAAGATTATTCGACTTCTCTGATCATGATTCAGCCATGTTCAAGCAAAAACAAAAAAATTCACTGATTCGAGCATCTCAAGTGTGAAAATCTGTCATGTACTGTACAACACAACACAACTGAGTGTACTTGGTCCGATAAAGCAAGAAACCTGGAGACGCCACTTTGTTTTAGAAAAACATAAAACATTTCTCATTATGTTTATAACAATTATTTAAGAAAAATGTTAAATAGTATTGAAACAATCATTTGCAGCCCGATTAAAAACATTTTCAGAGGAAAGCCATGTATATGATGTACCAGCTATCAAATACCTTTCCATCAGCTTTTTACTGAGAAATTTAAGTTTGCAATATTAGCTGGATAAGCACGCTGGAGAACTCACCAAGCCCTCAGGCCCCTTGAGTTAAGATTTAGTTTGCTTATACATATGTAGACATGGTAATTTAACAAAACCTTCCATGAAATGCATTTTTTCCATTTAGATAACTGCTTTTAAAGAGATTTGGTGACCTAAGTTTAAAATGTAACACATGGATAAAACAAGCTAACTGTCATTATCACTGCCTCTGATTATCACATGTTTAGTCTCCTTTTACAAAGCAAGTTTGAAAATGTCAGTACAAATTCACAGCAACACTTCCAAACATACTAGGGCAAAGTGAAAAATGTATGCTTTTATTTTGAAAGTGTAATCAAATCCTGGCATTTCTCCCTTTTGACTGACTTGACACCTCTCTGCAGAGCTGCTGTACCGACAACGATCTGGCAGAAAACAGAGGCAAAAACACAGGCATTTTGAGGTTTTAGGTCCGAGGTCTCCACACAAAGACTTTTAGAAATGGCTGTACAGTGGCATGCGGTGTCGCTGAAACATATAACTATTTTCTCAACATTCTTCTAATTCAGATCATCTCCAACATTGTCCATATTCTAGTTCTCCATCAAGGCATGTAAACACAATGTAATGATGCCGTTAAACTTGATTATTCTGGTTAAACAGATTTAATGACACAGACATTGGTGGTCAATTTCAGCACCTTAAAATATTACATCCTGCTCCAAATGCATGCACTCACTGACAAAGGCCTGTTATTAAACTACTGAATGTATTCTGTTTGTCCATGCTGTAAAAAATGATGCAATTTCAGGAAACTATATAAGAACTTTAAAGTGATACCGTAGAATTCTAGTTGGAATTTAAAAAAAACCACAAACACATACGATTTAACCAGGTTTTGTTGGGGAAAAATGCTAATAAAAAATATATTTACAAAAAAAGTGTATTTCAAAACTAAAGTCTAGTATCTACACTCCTCATCCCAACCATGTAACAACGCTCCTCCTCTTCCTCCGGAGGTGACAGGCCTGTGAAAAAGGCAATAAAATGTCTGTGAAGTTCAGGTGTTCGACAGCAGAACCTTATTTTTTTTATTGCAACAGAAAAGATATGATGGATGAATAAAAATCTGGACACATATGGAAGCACCTTTCTTAATGTGTTTAGCTGCAGAATATTTATAATTATCAAATGTCTGGTTCACATTTTGAAGTTTCTTTCCAAACTACTAAAAGCCACAGGACACCCAGGCACAAAACGGATTTTGTTGGACAAACAGAAAGCAGCTTCTTCAGGTAAATAAGGTTCGACTGTGAAAACACCCCAATACTCCAAAGACCTGGAAGAGAATGAGTCGCCCGGTGCTGTAAAATGACAACACGGAAGAGGCAGAGCATTGTCCAGAGTGAGGCAAGCAGGAGCTGTGTGACAACGTCCAGCCTCAAGGTTTCCACAGCTTCAGGAGGCCGTCCTCACTGTAGGTGGCGATGAGATTCTGGTGGGGGTGGTGGGCAATGCCGATCACATCCTTCTCATGGACCTAAGGGGGGAGGGAGAGACATGATGTCAGGATACCTTCACTGGTCATCATCATAATTCAGGATTTATCTAAAGTCAGCACCATTAACATGAACTTTTCCTGAGAAAACAGCATCAAAAAGTATCTCAACAAAAATGACATAAGAACATAACATCACATTCTTCTTGTAAAAATGGCTATATGATACCGGTGCATTATACAGTACAGTGGACTTACAGACACCAGAACACAGTAAAAATAAGAAGATTAGTGTCCTAGACAAACCCTGGTCCTCTTGGAGAAAACGCCAAACAGTTTCTATGCTTGTTTATTAAGTCATTTAAAAAGCAACACAACAGAGCTTCATCCAGACCTACAACACTTCAGACTAGAACTTCACAGGCAGGACTTTGTGTAGCAGAAGCAGAGGAGTGATCAGGCAGTGATATTTTTGGACTTTCTGATCTATACTCCTGAGTGCAATAAACGTACCGTCAGCGTTCTCTCCAGTTTGCCGGTGACTGTGCTGAAGCAGTAGAGCACAAAGTCTTCACCCACGCAGTAGATCCACTCGCCACGGGGCGACAGAGTACAGCACACAAAGTCACCACCCTCCCTCTTACCGGAGCTGAAACTCCTCACGATCTGTACGGGGAGAGACGCATTCAAACCCACGCAGAGTGTAAATGTGAGAAGGCAGCCAAGAAGGCAATTTTATTACCCTGGTTACATAATGAAGACACCTTCAAAAATCTTACTATACAGATTATATTGTATTTGGCAGATCTTTAAATGATACATCTTAAAAGCAATTAATCCTAACTCACTTATTTAATAAGGGATATGAAGTTAAGTTCTCATTAAGTCCCTGCTGATTTTTCTTCATACATTTACTTATTATTCATCAAGATTTGACTCATTGTTGCCTGTGGTGGCACATTTGTCTAAAATGACATTATATTCTCAAATCAACCAGAGCCTAATTTATCCTGTTGGCAATAATCACTATCCAAACTTCTATCTACAGCCAAAGGCAGCTAAATTACATAAAGCAGTGGTTTGGACTGACCTGTCCCTGCATGTTCATGATGACCACCGTGTTGGAGCGGTTACACACGACGAAATGCTCCGGGTTCTTAGGTAGAAGGATGACGTTGTTGACTGTGATGTCAGTGCCGGCCGATGTGCCCAGAGGCTTGAAGGTGTTTGTGCACTCGGCGGTCTTCATGTTCCACACCTGAAGACAAGACATGGATCATGATGAGGGAAACGTGTGGTGGTGACATTACAAATAAGTGAAAAAGGCACAAGAGCCTGGATAGTTTTCAGCAGCTGCTTCTCTCACCTTCACTGTACCATCTGAGGAAGCGCTGATGATGTGGTGACCGTCTGGAGTGAATGTGGCCTCATTGACAAACGACGCGTGGCCGCGGAACTCCTTAAGAGACTTACCTGACTTGAGTCCGTGGATTCTTACGCAAAACACACAAAGATAATGTTCACAGGCATCATCCACACAATTGCTGAGTAAAGAGCACAACTACTCAGTCAACTGAAGGACTTAGAGGTAACTCAGAAAAGGTCTGGAAGCAAAGGGAAGGTGTTTGGTGAGATGCGAGCTTACCTGATTGTCTGATCGAAGGAGGCACTGAGGAGCTGGCTGCTGTCTTTACAGAAGCTCACACATGTGACTCCTTTACTGTGGGCACGTTCAAATCTCCTCAGACACTGGCCGCTTTGGATCTTCCACACCTACATACAAACACACATTCAGAAGTTGTAACTTGTTTTCTTATTGCTGATTTTGGTATAGATCGCATGTCAAACTCAAGGCCCGCGGGCCACATCCAGCCTGCGAGATCATTTTATATATATCTTTTCTTAATGGCCCGGCAATATGAGGCGCCGATAACACACAAACTACAAATCCCATAATGCAGCGCAACAGCTGCCTTACCGAACGATAGGCTACCTGCAATCATTCCCGCGTGAATTACGTCTGATCAATCAAGCGTCTGTTGATGTATACAACCCTAATTTCAAGTCAAAGCTAGCCCCTAACAATGGCCAAGAGAAAACTTGGTTCTGAAAACAGAGCCTTTCAAAACCGGTGGCTGAGTATATGTTTACTGACATTGTTGTAAACCCGTGTGTTTTATTTGTGGAGCTAATGTGGCTGTAATTAAGGAATATAACCTAAGAGGCACTACGAGACAAAACATCAGGACAAGCTGAGAAACGTGATGCAGAGCAGAAGCTACAGAAGGTAGAGGAGTTGAAGAGGAATCTGACATCACAGCAGACGTTTTCACCAAAGCTAAATCACACAGTGAAGCTGCTGTGAAAGCAAGTTTTATTGGGACAAAGGAGAAAATCAGCCTGGACATTTACCGAGGGAGAGTTTCTGAAGAGCTGCATGATGAAGGTGTGTGACGTCTGGTGTCCAGACAAAAAGCAGGTGTTTGTTAATGTAAGGCTTAGCAGAAATACGGTTGGTGATTTTAAGTTTATTTATTTTGGAATAATATTGTATCCTGTCTGTTTCGATTCATTGTTCAAAAAACGTTTAGTTTTAGTTTGTTCAATAAATGTTTATCCTGTTCGGCCCGTGATCTAAAGTGTGCTTTGAGTTTTGGCCCCCTGTGCCACTGAGTTTGACACCCCTGGTATAGAGTAAGAGATTCCTCTCACCAATCCGTATGCTCTAGGTTTTGTTTTAATGTTCAATACCAGAATTTGACCTATTTTTGTTCCACAAATAAACATAAGCAACACAATGAGAATCAGAGCATGAAAGAACAATGAGAACCCGGTAAAGCAAAGTTTGCCCTCTACCTTGATCTTTCCATCTTGAGCTCCAGTAGCCAACATCTCAGTGTCTCGACTGAAGCACATACACAACACTGCATCATCCATCATCATGAAGTTATCTTGAGCCTGATACTTCAGATCCTGTGAGACACATGCATACATAATAAGTTGTTTTGAATCATAGGTGTAAAATAAACATTGCATCCTACCAGACAGGAAATCTGGTTTATGTTGTCTTTCTTGTGAATGAGCTACCTTTCTGATTTTGCCAGTGGTGAAGTTCCAGACCTCAATGAAGCCGTCCACAGAGCCGGTGACCAGGTACTGACCATCAGGGGAGAATCGGGAACACTCCACGTGAGACTTCTGTCCAAACTGTGCAGTAAAGAAAAACAAGTAACATCAGAACACATTTGTCTTGAAATGCACTGTAACTCCTGGAAGTGTAAAATAAAAGTGACACTATGCTTGTCTGAATGCATCGTTTACTTCCTTTCATGTTGCTTTCTAACATTTTCACCTTGGGACTGTGTTGTTACCTTGATGTGCCTGGTAAGCTGGGTGGGGAAGCGCTCCTCTTCTACATCTTTAACAGCAGCTTTACCCCTGAACAAGTCGATAGTCATACCGGGAGGCAGGAGTCCCTGATGCTGCTGCCACTTCAGAGACTAAGAGAGGAGATTGTAGGCAGTGGACAAAATCATCAGCAGCACTTTATTTAGATGGCAGCATCATATCAATCAATACATCCTACCATGCAAATAGATCAGGAAAAAGATGCTAATTAAATTTTTAGTAATGATCTCACCTGCAGGGTTCCAAGTCTCTTACCTGTCCCAGCAGAGCCATGAGACGAGACGGTGGCACAACGCTGACCTCCCCTGCCAGAGCCTGAGCGATGGCTGCCCGACGCTTCTCCTTACTGCTGCCGTCTGGGTACGCCTGGACCCCGAGAAACACAAACATCAAAAATCACAGCTACAACCATGATATCCTGTTTAAACAGCATTTACACTTTTACGTGCAATTAAAATTCTATTTTCTGTTGCAAGGACAGTGTTATTTACAGTAAATTAGACCCTTGTTTGGCTGCAAGAGCACAACAAAATACCAAATAAGTGCTGATTATGTACCAGAGCCTCTCTAAAATGATGCATTGTGGCAAAGTCTAAATTTAGCCACAAAATATGTTACTCATCATGAACACACTGAAGAATTGTTGGTGCTGTGGGCCAAACAGCAACTGGTCTTAAAATGATTGAACATGGATGAAGAACAAATACTACATCTTGTCGCACCTCTCTGGGATCAAAGTAAGAGCGAGCCAGCAGGTTCTCCAGGTGGATATATCTCTCTGGCTGGGTCTGTTTCAGCATTATCATGGGGTCAGTCTGCCTGAGGAGCGAACGGGCTGCCCCCAACTCTCTCAACTCGATTAGCTCCAACACAACCTGGTCAGGAAACAACACAGACACTTCACTTTGGAGGAAAAGTAGCCTCAGACATCAACTTTAAATCAACACTTGGTGAAAGGTTAATGAGATTAAAGGAAGGGTGGAGTAGCTAGAAGGTAGAAAAAGACACCCATATACTGTATCTACACTCAGGAAGCACAGGGACTGCAGTACTGTATCAGTCTCCACCCTAAACAAAGTAAACATGACAGGGAATTGTAACAGGAAACAACAGTGGTATAACACAATTTATCCAATCCTCACCTGCTCATAAAGGTCTATCAGGGTCTTATCTGGCAGCTTGAGAGACTGGATGGCTTGCAGGACGGTATCCCAGTGGCCGCTGTTTATGTCTGCCACAAAGCTCTCTATACTGTCCACAGTGTTCAGAGATACTGTGGTCTCCTCCTGCAGGGTGGCCAGAGTCCGGTGCAGATTATTTTCCTTTAAGTACTGCATAATGAGACGAATCACGCTGCAGGAAACACAAATGATACAAGTCATTTGGATAAACAAATATTAGAAGCCAGCTCAGCTGAAGCAATTTAAATGACAATGTATTAACACAGTTAAATGTTAGTAGCTCATAAATTACAGTCAACAGATCTTTGGACATTTGTTTAACTCTTGCCACCTCCAAAGTGAAGTCACAGGGCCCTAGTGGTAGAAATTAGAGCCCTACATTATCAAATATTATATTACTGGCACATTCAGCACTGTACAAAAGTTTTAGGCAGTTTAGATACATATAATTTATGTATTTAGATTCATTTCAATCCCACCGTACCATCAGGGAGGTTTCTGATGGGTCCTAAATTTATGCTGCAGCATGACAAGGACCACAAACATAGAGTCTGAGACATAAAGGACTATCTTCAGAGACAAGAACATTTGGAGCTCTGCTATACGCATCAGGGAGTCAGTCTGGGATCACATGAAGAGACATGAGACACTGAGACAGTGTAAATCCTCAGAGGAACTGTGATGTCCAGGACAACCTACCTGACAAACACCTGGAAAAACTGGGAATGTACTGAGGGGAACTGGTGCTATTTAAAAGGCAAAGGCTGGCCACACCAATTACATATATATAAAATTTGCTAAATTTTGTATAAAATGTATTGATAAATGTAAAAAACAAAAACATTCATGGTATTATTTTAAGGAAAAAGTAACACGAAACTGCAGAAAGCACAGAAATGCCAAAGTCTAGTAATTTCACAACAATGTCATTATTAACTACACTGTTGTTCACAGAGTATATTTTCAAAGCAACTGTACTAAATCAGTAGGTTTCTTCAATTTTAAGGACTTCTTTACAAAAATGTTTGGCTTTAACTACATGTTAAAAACTACTAAATACTGTTATCCATCTCAAATGTCTATATAATGGATGTATGAATCAAATATCTTGTTCATGGACACATGGGCAGGGAAAAGATTTGCCAATGAACAAGCTGGGACAATTAAAATGATAGTTATAACCACCAGACATACTGCTCTGATGGTTTCAATGAAATAACCACCGTTGTAAATAAGCATAACATGGTGAACGCTAGCTATACAGATGTACAACAAAATACTGTAGAAAGGTTTCTGGTACTGACACTAAATCAGGCAAAATTTAGTATGACAACAAATTATGTAACTTTAAAATTTGTTCGCTGCTGAAGTTTGATTAATCTAGTTACAACCCTGGCCATACCAGAATATGTAGCAACTGGTAGCGCATCGTTAGCTAACGCCAACTTAACGTTATTCGTCTATATATTCTCCATGAAGAAGTATTGAAACTAGAAAAGATTGGTAATGCATAATTTAAGTAACATTAACACAACAAAGTTTCAAACATAATTTGCAGTTCGGTACAGCAAAGAGGAGCGAACAACATGCATACAGGGATAACTGACTTAACACTAGCTTGGTAGCGTAGCTTAGCTTAGCTTAGGATGCTAACGCCAGCGGCCTGCAGCATAGGATGAAACAGGCCTCATTGGAAAAAATTCAAACGCGCAATTATAAGATACTGGCTTATTCTAAAAAAGGTACCCTGCTTTAATAATAATAAACTGGGCTACTTACTCTGCGGATTCTACCTCCAAAGACATGATTGTTTATGACAAAATAGCAGCCAGAAGATACTATCGAGTCCACAGCAAAAGCAAGACACACACACACGAAAAGCAGGCGCTAAGACGGAAGTAGTCGGAAAAGTCAGTGATCTTCAAAATAAAAGTCTCATTTGACGGTCCGATGAAACATTATTTTGGTGTAACCATCTGAATCACTACATACAATCACCATATTTGGAGGATTCTTTACAAAATAGACATTAAACAGGAATATTTTCTTCCAGCAGGTATGCAAAAAAATCTCATGGCTTGTTGTGGATCTTAAATGCCACAGAAATTAGGTTTACAATATATTTTTATACATCATTATTGGTTATATATAGAATTATGAGGGTGATTTATGAAAGCAACACCTTTACAATGTAATGAATTGCATGAGTCTTAATGTCTGTTCAGGCTAGGCTATTCCTTTTTTTGAGACTGTCAGAGAGGTGTTGGTTTCACCCTGGGGCATTCCACTGTTCCTGAGTAAAGCAGTTAGTACTTTACCCCTTTATCCCATTAAAAAACATAATATGAACATACTGTTTTATTTTTTATTGTACTGCTTACATAGCCAGTAGCATACTGCCCATTCAAGTTTAACTTAATTCAGTTTATCCATTCAGTTCATTCATCCATTCACAGTGATTAGCCTTTGTAGTGTTTAACATATAGCCACTCAAATTTAATATACTCCCAAGAGCAATTATCCTTAAAACTGAGTACAGGAACTATCAGGAGTCAGTGAATGGGCTCCAATGGACACCAGTAGAACTACTTTTTTGGTACAAATGATTTCAACAAGCGCATATACCTGGATGACTGGTTTTCTTCCTACAGCCTTATATGAGGTCAAAGCACATGTAGTGTCATGTCTCCTGGGACAATAAATAAGACTAATGTTAATGCAATTCCTGGAAGCCTTTTGGCTTCATTAATATCAGTGTGCATCCCCATTTGCTTTGATACTATTCTGTTTTTCCCATGGCGATCTACAGGGGGCGCTATCTGCACAGCTGTGCCTCAGAGGCCCTCTGACGCCATTCTCTCTGCCAGTGAAGGTCTTTCAAGGTTATGATGATGCTGCTCAGTGCAGCACCACTTCAATCTGCAGTCCCATGGCCTGGGTTTGATTGTTTTGGGGCAATCATGGCATAATCCCACTGTGAGTCCCATCAATACTGGAAATAAATCTGGCACCAAAAACACAGCAAACATTGTCTGGTTTCATTTGCTTTTGCAGATGGATAAATATATTGGGAAGCCACGAGGAGAAACAGAGAGGATGGGGAGAGGAGGAGTGCTCTCGCACAATACCATAACATCATAGTCATTGTGAATATATTAACATAAGAGCAGGAGAAAGATGTCAATATAATTTCTCTGTCTTCTGGCATGACAAAGCAGAGACTGTCTGGAGAATGCTTACTGGTGAGGGAGACGCCACCATGCTGGAAGAGTGACAGCGACACAAAAGGCGGTAATGTAATCACTTCATCCTTTCTGAGAAAAACAAAGAAAATTCTAATTTCATGTATGGTGCCATCCTCAGTGTGCAATGAGGTTACCCTTTCCTATCATAATTAAAGCACAGTAACACTACAAAAAACAGCAGCTTTTCTTTGGTCTGTCAGGTGGAAACATTTTGAGAAAACAGACATTAAAGTGATTTCCCACTATTCAGTGTTTAGAAATCAAAGCACAAAAGAGAAAGTACTTTGCTGTGTGTGTCAGTAGTTCACACTCTGGACAAAACAGCTTTCATGAACCAGTTCCTGCTAACTAGCCTGACAAAAATAAAATAAAACATATTCTGCCTAACAGTCACATTTTTGAATAACATTACAAATAATTCTACATTTCTTACACAATCCTCACATTCCCAATCTGCGTTGTTCTCATGGAAACCATTTAAAATGCTAAACTGTGAGCTTGAGGCTCTGACAATAATAACAAATCAAAGTAGAACAGCAAGGGCAACTTGTTTAAGAGATGAACGGAGGAGGATGAAGATCCATCCAGGACAGGCTATGTCATGACAGGTCGTTACAGTTTTTGTTCTGGCATGTAACATTTTGAATGTTTCAGTTTCACTTGTAATACAGTATGTTTTAAAAGTAATGTTCCCTTGTGAAAATGTTATTTGCGCATTTTGATTCGTGTGTTATGTGTATTGAAAGAAGGAGGCGCTGTTAAAGGTGTTCTGAATCTGATCTTTCTGACCATTAGGAAAAGCTGCAAACAAAGACTCACTGGAAATAAAAAATGCTTGCTGTATATCATAGCTGAGATTCAGTTGGGATTTAAAAAAAAAAGAATAAGTTACACTTAATTATTAAAAATCTTTGTGACGTCTTGTCGGCCAAAATGGGGATTGCACGTGTGCACCAGCTTTTCTAAGATCAGAAGAGCAATGATGCTTTGGATGGAACCTGCTCTTCAGCTAAGCTCTGCACATTCACAAACACTAAGATGCAGCTCCCAAAGCCAAAACGGCATGTCAGGGATTTGACTCAGAAATAAATGTTATACTACAGATTCACAGCTAGATCTGAAGTGAAAAATACTTTTCAGTGCAGTGGAATCTGGACAGCATCAGATTTCTCTGAATGTCAATGAGAAAAATCCAGACAGCGTATGCTCATTCATTCATCCTTTCCTCCCTCCTGAAGAGGGCCTATCACTGAGAGGGGACAGTCATAACCTGCACTACTGCAGTATTACACACAGTACTATAGGTCATTCTAAACACTGGAACCCTTGATCAGTGTTTTTACTTGAGAGGACAACAAACAAAAATAAAAACAACTAATCCAGATGACAAAATCTTGTTGCTTTGTTGGTTTTATCAATCTCTTTAAGAGCTTTGCCCTTGGCTGTACTTGCCAGTGGAACAGAATGAACAAGGGTCCATTAATTTGCTGCTGAGAAGCTACTCTTAGCTCTTGACTAATGGATAATTTCACCACCAGCAAGTCAACCCTCGAGTCATGTGTTGTAGTGGGTGGAAGGTGTGTGTTTCTGTGTGTATGCAAGAGATATTGGTGGTGCTGGTAGTAAGGAGGGTGGAGGGGTGGGGATTTGGGTCATAGTCCAGGCAGGAAATCTCGATGGATCTGTCTGTAGACTGTTTGCTGCTCGCGTCTGAGCATCAGGCCTACTGACCTTTAGATCTTTCTTTATAGTTAGAACAGAAAGTCAAAAGGGTCTCAATGAGAAACCCTTTGGGGTCATGACCCAGCTCTGAGGTCATGACAAAACAAGAGGAAGATGCAGGATGATATATGGGACCTATGCACGGGTCCTCTTTGTGGACTTCAGCTCGGCATT